GTGCCGTGGATGGCGCAAGACGGCGTGCGGATTGTTGTGCAGAACGTGTCACTGCGTAACGGCGCCGTGCTGTACGTGATGGGCGGAGGAGCGTTGCGCGGTGCGGGGGCGGCGGGAAGCAACGAGAGCGGGCCGGTGGAGTTGTCCGTGTGCGATGTGGAGGCGCTGAACGGCGCGATTGTGCTGACCGGCACGTTTCCCGCGGGGTCCGCGCTGACTGTGACGGACTCCCTGCTGGTTTCCGCGGGGTCGACGCCGCTTGTGTATCTTTCCGGCTCGCGGTCCTCGCCGTACGCACCGGTGCTGGTGCTGTCGGGTCTGCGGCTCGTGCGGTCCGTGCTGGTTGTGTCCGGCGTGTCCCTCGTGACTGTGATGACTGGTGGGCGGACGGTGGTGGTGGACGGCGCCGTGCTGGAGCTCGTCGGCGGCGGTGTCGCGCTGGACGCGACTGTGTTCGGTGGCGAATATGCGTTGTACGCGAGTGCGCGCGTGGTGGCGTCGGAGGGCGCTGTTTTGCGCGTGTCGGGGAGCCAGGTGTACGCCGCGCATGGATTGGTGTTCGACAACGGGGTGATGGCCAACGCGTCCGCCGTCGTGGTGAATGACAACGCCGGTGCGCTGACGGATGGCGCGCTGCTGGTGCTGCGGGAGACGGCGTCGTTTGTGTCCGGGTCGTGGCTGTCGGTGCGCGGCAACAGCATCAGCGGCAGGCTCCTTTCGCTGCCTCCGTACCCGCGCAGTGCGGAACTTGTGCAGAGCACGCTGACGTTTCACAAGAACGCTGGCAGTGGGCCCGCTGTGATGGACGGCACCGTTGAGCTCGGGAGCGCCGGCCGAAAGTTTGTCGTGGGGTGCCTGACGCTCAACGGGCAGGCGCTGCAGCCGATCAACTACAGGTCCGCCGGCATCATCGGGAAAGTTCGCCCCGTGGCGTGCAGCGTGTGTGACGCCGACGTGAGCTGCTTTGCTGCTGCGACGAGGGCGATGTCGGAGTCGTGCCGCTGCCGCTGTGCTGAGGGCGGGTACGGGCGCGACTGCCTGCCGGTGTACCTGCCGCACGTGGACGGGTGCAACCGCACGCCCGAGAAACCGCTGCTGAGCCACACGGCGACGCTGACGGCGACGCGCAGCCTGACACCAACGTGGACGCCAACACCGCCAACAACGAGCCTGAGTGCGACGCGCTACAGTCCGACGAACTACGGACCGACGGAGACGCCGCAGGTGACGGAAACGGTGACGCTGCTGCCCACGCCGACCCCGGCAGCGTCGGTTACGGCGACGGTGCTGCCGACCGCGACAATGACGGCATCGGAGTCACTGAGCGTGAGCCTGTCGGTGAGCAGCACGCCGTGGTGGAGCGACGTGGCGTGCCCGACACTTACCGTGACGACGACGGCGGCTGGTGGGAGCCTGACGCAGAACGACATTCGCGGCGGTGGGAGCGCCGTCCCGACACGGCTGATGGTGACGCTGCCGCCGCCGTTCCGGTGGGCAAGCGACCCGCAGCTCGGCACGCACCTGAGCTTCGTGCCGGTGTCGACGGCGCAGCCGACCGGCTTTGGTGGTCCGTGGGGAGCGATGCTGCGCAACGCGACGTGGGAGCGCAACGCGACGAATCCGTCCACCGTCCTGGAGCTGGCTGTGCCCGTGCACCGCGGCTACTTCATTGGTGCCGACGAGACGATAGTCATTCGCTGCGACGCTGTGGCGGTGTCTGGCGGCTGCAACGGTGTGCTACTTGGGTCTTTCACCATCGCGTCTAACACGCCGCCCGCCGTTGCCAGCGCCCTCTCGGCGATCACCGGCGTTGTTGCGGGTGCGACGGCTGTTGCCATGGTGGTGACCGGCGGGCTGGGCTCCATCCTGGAGATGCAGGCACTCGGCGTGTTTGCGAAGATGTCATGCGCCTCGGCGCAGGAGCGTGCGAGCACCGTTGCGCTGCCGTACTTCCTGTCGGTGTTCGCTGCCCTTGACCCGCTGTGGATGGTGGTGGGCAACGCGCTGCTCGCCGCTGTGTTCGGGTGCGTGCACTACGGTGTGACGGCGGCCTTCCAGCGGTGGCGCGGCGTGGACGCGGCGAGTGCGTGGGCGGCGATGCGCTTCCCGAGCCTGACGTACGTCGTGGCGCACGCGATGCACCTCGGCATCTTCTTCGGCTCCGTGTTCGCACTGGCGATGCCCGGCGCCCGCGTGCAGCACTACGTGATTGGTGTCTTTGGTGTGCTGTACGGTGTGGCGTTTCCTGCTGGCGTTTGCTACTTGATTGCCCGCCACACGGGCGCGAGCTTTACGAAGTACTGGCAGTTTTCGAGGAAGCCGCTGCACGAGCGCCTGCTGTACCCCGTCGGGTATTGGCACCCCGCGGCGCAGCAGCGGATGTACGGCAGCATGCTAACGAACATGAAGGGCAGCTACGTGTACTGGTGCGTGTTCCAGCTGTCGGTGCTGTGCGTGGTGGGCCTGATTGCGGCTGTGCACCCGCCCGTGGGAGTCTGCCACGTCCTGTACTTCTGCATGGCTGCTGTGCTGCTTGCGGGTGCGGGCGTGGTTGCCTTCACGAACATGATGCGCTCGGCCTTCCTGACGGTGATGCGCACGGCGAGCTTTGTGCTCCTTGCGGCGCTGTGCCTGACCAGCGCGGCCAACCATCTTGCGCCCAGCGACGGCGGAGCGAGGGCGTACGCGGCACTTCTGATGCTGCTGACCACTGTGCTGCTTGCGGCCACTGTGTACTGTGCGGCTGTGTGGTACGTGGAGGACCGCCACTGGCAGGAACTGCGCGAGCCACAGCGTGGAGGGCTGGATGCGCTGCTGCGCGATGACGAGGAGAGCGACGAAGAGTTGCGGAAGCACCACGACAGGACATCATCGTCGTACGCTTCAGGCACCGCCGGCGCGTCGTCGTACCGACCACCCGCACCGCCGCAGTGGGAACGCATCATTGGTAGCAACGAACGCAACCCAGATACCATTGACCGTCAGCCGCAGCCACTGGGCGTCGACGCGCACTCCAACGCATTAACCTTCCTGGACCGTGCATCAACTACACGCGGAAGCGTGAATCACGCTATCCTGTGACATGCGCCACGTGAAATTTGTGTGCGGTGCTGGCCGATGGGGGGAGATGGCGCGGGGCCACGGCTGCTGCGCGCCGCGGCCAGTCATTGTATGGCGCACCAACAGTGTCGTTCATTTTTGTTTTCATTGGCGCTTTTCTATTGTCTTTCTTTTCTGCCAGTGTTGGCTTGACTGTCTTTTATGTTCTGGATAATGTGTGTGGAGTTTTCATCGTCCCATGTTCTTACTTTGCTTAACTTGACTGTGCTGTGCTGTTTGTTGTAATTCTTTCTCGTTTCTTTTGTCACTCCGTGATCCGCCACCACCAGCGGCCGCTGCGTGTATATCGCTGCGTGGAAGTGGCGGGTGTGCGGTGCTGGCCGAAGTGGGGAGATGACGCAGGGCCACGGCTGCTGCCCGCCACGGCCAGTCATTGTATGGCGCACCAACAGTGTCGTTCATTTTTGTTTTCATTGGCGCTTTTCTATTGTCTTTCTTTTCTGCCAGTGTTGGCTTGACTGTCTTTTATGTTCTGGATAATGTGTGTGGAGTTTTCATCGTCCCATGTTCTTACTTTGCTTAACTTGACTGCGCTGTGCTGTTTGTTGTAATTCTTTCTCGTTTCTTTTGTCACTCCGTGATCCGCCACCACCAGCGGCCGCTGCGTGTATATCGCTGCGTGGAAGTGGCGGGTGTGCGGTGCTGGCCGAAGTGGGGAGATGGCGCAGGGCCACGGCTGCTGCGCGCCACGGCCAGTCATTGTATGGCGCACCAACAGTGTCGTTCATTTTTGTTTTCATTGGCGCTTTTCTATTGTCTTTCTTTTCTGCCAGTGTTGGCTTGACTGTCTTTTATGTTCTGGATAATGTGTGTGGAGTTTTCATCGTCCCATGTTCTTACTTTGCTTAACTTGACTGCGCTGTGCTGTTTGTTGTAATTCTTTCTCGTTTCTTTTGTCACTCCGTGATCCGCCACCACCAGCGGCCGCTGCGTGTATATCGCTGCGTGGAAGTGGCGGGTGTGCGGTGCTGGCCGATGGGGGGGAGATGGCGCAGGGCCACGGCTGCCGCGCACCACGGCCAGTCATTGTATGGCGCACCGACAGTGTCGTTTATTTTTGTTTTCATTGGTGCTTTTCTATTGTCTTTCTTTTCTGCCAGTGTTCATTTGATTGTCTTGTAATTTCCAGCGATTGTGCAGGGGGCTACGCGTTTGTGGCTTGGCTGCGGCAGAAGAGCGCGCTTGGGTGTTGGAGCCCGCTGCATGCATTTTTTTTTTTTCTGGGTGTGATGCATCAGGTGGTGTGTGCTGTCCCGAAGTCCTGCCTCTCTCCTCCTGCCTGTTTGTTTTCAGTCCGGTGTGGCACTGCGGTGCACGGGCGAAGTAGTCGTTTGGTTTTTTGTGATGCGTCGCATCTCACGCTTTGCTGCGCAGTTGGTTTGTGGGGGACGAAGTTGTGCCACGACGCGTGGGGATGATGCCAGCCGCACAGAGCGCAAGGAGGACGTTGTGACGCCGTGGGGTGTTGCCGCCACGGGCCCGAGGGGTGTGGACTATGACCGCGTCCTCGCACTATTCGGGTCGGAGCCCGTTGATGAGCCCCTTCTGCAGCGGCTGGAGGAGACACGCAACGGACGGGAGGAGCACGCGCAGGCAACCGGCACCGCACAAGGGGAGGCGGGACAGATGGCATTGCATCATTTTTTCCGCCGCGGCATTGTCTTCTCCCACAGGGATTTTGGAACCGCCCTTGACTGCGTGCGTGCGTCCCTTGCGACGGGGACACACCGCGCGTACTTGTACACTGGCCGTGGACCGAGCGCGCGGTCGATGCACATTGGCCATTGCATACCGTTTTTATTGACGCGTTACCTGCAGGATGCGCTCGGTCTTCCGTTGGTGATTCAGATGCCCGATGATGAGAAGCACTTCTTCCGCGACATTCCCGTCAGCGGGGAGAGGGCGAGCGGGTTGGTGGCGGAGAACATAAAAGACATCGTTGCCTTTGGCTTCGATCCACGCAAGACATTTATATTCCGCAACACGGTGTACATGGGGGACATGTACCCAACTGTCGTGCAGGTGCAGCGCATGTTGACGCTGAGCGCTGTGAAGAATACATTTGGCCTGAAGGATAGCGACAATGTGGAAAGGCAGCTTC